GGTGTCTTTTCCCAATCTGTCCAAATGGGTGGGGCAGCCCTGATCAAGACCCCTGGTGACAGGAGGCTTGGTAATGGTCTCAATGAGACCATTACTGCCCCATCATCAGGCAGCTGTCAGAACTGGACCCAAAGCTGGTCCCTGTGAAGCTCTGGCCCTGGGGGTTTCCTCTGGCCCAACCAGTTTCCTTCTCCCTGGGCTTCCCTGCAGATATATGAAGACAGTCATCGAGACACAGGGTGAAGGGACTCCTCTGCTGGCCCCTCAACTTTCCCCGGTCCCTTCACTAATCTGGTCATCTGACCCCAATGGTCTTAAAAAGTGGAGTCCCCAATACTACTCCTGATCTCCTGTGGGTACCTATACACTGGGGTCCCCTGTCCCTGTGGTCACAATCTGCTGACCCAGCTGAAGTGACCTTCCATCTGTTGCAGGAAGAAGGTCTGAGGGCCCTTGTCTCGGAGCTCCTGAAGAGGGCGTTCTTGCCCCACCACAACAGTAAGCCCCACTGTTTCTCCTCAGGCCCACACACCATAAGGCCTGGGCAGCGCCAAGCGTGTCCAAGGCTCTGTACATACAGCTGACTTGCCTTGTTCCCTGGGGTTGGCAAAAAGAGGCAGGGTAGAAACCCTGAAACTGGGGGGTGGTGGGTGAGGAGAGTGGGGAAGGGGCCATGTGTGCCTCCCTGTTCTTTGGTCAGGCAGCTACTGGTGACAGGAACTCAGAAGGAGGGCAGGAAGCCAGGAAGGGCTTCCTGGGTGAGGTAAGGGTTAGCATGGAAAGTGACAGGAATGCCAGTCAGAGGGAGTGGAGCCCACAGCTCACAACATCTACTCCTGCAGGGGCCAGGTAGGTAACATACGCAAAGGAAGCAACCCAGGCGGGGCCTGTGGCAAACACGCCCACCGTAAGTGAGGAGCTAACAGGTTTGGAGATATCACCCCTATCTTTAGTTATCAGCAACAAATTCAAACTTTTCAAAACACCACTGTCTTAGTTTGAGCTCCCTCAGAAGCAGACACTGAGATAACCAAGTACAAGTCGTTTTTTGGGATGTGATTCCAGGAAGCCAGAGAGAAGTGAGGAGAAAGTTCTACGGGAGTATAGAGCCTAGTCAAGTGCCTCTTCCTCATAGAACTCATGAGTTTCCTTGCCTCCCCTGACACTGTGTAACCATTGTCCATCAACCCACATGATTATTTGGTTAGTGCCTGTGTCCCCAAACAGACCTTACTCACCTTTGAGAAATCAATCACCTGGTTCAGCCTCCTAGCCTTTTGGATAGGCCCAGAGAAGCTTAATGACTTACCCAAGGTCACACAGCAAGTCTGGCAGAGCTGAGCCTACAGCCTTGGCTTCTTGCTTCCTCTCAGGGGCTTTTCTCTGTGCTCCAACTCAACGACTCATGTTGGGACTGCAGAGTGAGGCTAGAGGAGCAGGCGGAGGCTCAGCTGCTAGCCAGGCTGAAGAATTTGGCATCTGTTCTAAAACCCATGGTAGCCAGGGAAGGTTCTGGGCATGAAGTGAGCAACTTTGTGCTCAACAAGGAGATGGGGAAGGGCAGTGATGAAAGGTCCATCAAGGCAGCCAGAGACAGTGCAGGTAGGCAGGAATGCAACCTAACCTGGGATGAGGCGAAGGAAGAGGCAGAAAGGCTGCCCCCATACACACACTTTGCTAGTACCTGTCACAGGCAGCTCACTCAACAAGTGTATCTTAGATCCCTGACAACAGAGTCACAGTGAGAGTCAACAGTTGACCCAGAGGCTAGGCCTGGCCCAGAAGCCTATATAGTCCCGCAGGATCTGAACACCCAGGCCAGCGGGTTGCACACCAGGAGGTGCTATTCACACTGGAATCCTGTGCAAAGGTCCCCCACAAGGAGCAAAAGAGCAGAGCCAAAGCCACTGAGGAAACCCAGGAGAACAACCTGCAAGAAGCAGACTGAGAGTGAGAATTGGTAGGGAAGAAACTCACGAAGCCTCTGCTGCAGGCACAGTTGTCTGCTCCTGACATAGAGGGAGGATTGAAATGAGGGGGTCCAGAGGCTGATGAGGAGGCCTCTGTAAGATCAGAGGACAGTTCTTCAAAAGATTAAAAACAGAACATTTATACAACCCATGAATCCCACTTCTGGGTAAATACCCAGGAAAAACCAAAACACTAATTTGAAAAGATACATGTACCCCTTTGTTCACTGCAGCATTATTTAAATAGCCAAGATATGGAAGCAGCCTAGGTGCCCATCAATAGACACATGGGTAAAGAAAATGTGATGTGCACGCACGCGCGCACACACACACACACACTCACACACACACACTAGAATATTACTCAGCCATGAAAAAGAATGAAATCCTGTCATTGTGACAACATGAATGGGACTACAGGGTATTATGCTAAGTGAAATAAGTCAGACAGAAAAAGATAAACACTGAATGTTTTCACTGTTATGTGGAATATTATAAAAAACAAATAAAACAGAAACAGACTCATGGATACAGAGAACAAACTGATGGATTCCAGGTGAAGGGCGGACTGTAATGGGTGAAAAAGGTGAAGGGGTTAAGAGGTACAAACTTCTGGTTATAAAATAAATAATTCATGGGATGTAAGGTACAGTAGAGGGAATACAGTCAATAATACTGTAATAACTTTGTATAGTAAGAGATAGTTATTAGACTTATCTTGACCACTTTTTTTTAATATATCTTTATTGATTTCAAAGAGAGGAAGGGAGAGAGAGAGAGAGAGAGAGAAACATCAATGATGAGAGAGTAATTGATCGGCTGCCTCCTGCACATCCCTACTGGGGATCGAGCCCGCAACCCAGGCATGTGCTCCCCAACCAGGAACCAAACCTCGATTCCTTGGTGCACAGGCCGATGTTCCAACCACTGAGCCACACCAGCCAGGGCAATACTCACTTTTTTCTGAGCTATTTTCTGTTTCTGCCAAGATTTTAGCATTTTCAGGCCTGTATAGCATTTTCAACCATTTCTCTCAAACAAGAAAAATAAATTTCATTAATATAATCATAAAAAGGCTCCAACATATTGAATATTCCTTAAAATAGTGCTAAGAAGAATATCTTTGTAAGAAGTGTTCATAGTCACTGAATATGTTTGAGAGAAGTTCCTTTAAGATAAGTTTTTAATAACTGGGTGGCATTTAGAGAGGCCTGGCTTTTTGGAGTGGGGCTGTCTGGTGGGGGATGGAGAGGGTGCTCCCTGGGGGAGGGAAGGGGGCACACCCAACCCCTCCCCTGTTCTGTGCAGTGGGGCAGCCAGAGGTCAGGCACCTCTGCCCACCGGGGCACTGAGCTCCCCTGTCCATCCCATTCAGAGAGTTGCTCGGTGAGCAACACCTCCCACTGCCCAGCATCAAGGGCATCTCCTTCAACCAAGCCCGAATGGCACCCTCTGAGGTAAATGCTGGCTGGGTAAAGAAGCTTCCCGAGACATGCATGGTCAGAGCTAGAAGGGCCTTAGCATCCTAGAGAGGCCTTTGTCCCTGTCCTGCTGAGGGAGGAGCTGAGGCCTGGACAGAGGAGGCACTCCATACGGTGAGCCCTCCACCTCCCTTATCTCACCATCTCCTCGCAGCCATCCTGGAGGTGATGCCCCGTTTACAGATGAGAAAACTGAGGCCTCCGGGGCTATGTGAATCCCTCAGGGAGCCAGACCCTCAGCTCACTGAGAGCTTCAATGCCCTACACAGGTGGTCTTCACAATTCGTTCCATTAGGTTGATGCTGTGACTTGTCCCATTTTACACACAAGGGAATTAAGGATCAGAGAGGCAGAGAAACTGGCCCAGGGAAGCAGAGCTGGGATTCCAACCAAAATTCATCTGACTTCAAAATCTCTACCCTTAGCTCAGAGCACCCACCACCCTAGAAGGCGGTGTCCTGGCCCCCAGAACAAAGCTGTTGCCTGGCGCCTGCTATCTGTAGCTGCCAGAGGGTGGGAATCAGGACCAGTCCTAGGCTGGCTGAATGCCAGGGCAGTAAGATGCAACCAGAGACTGGAGGGCAGAGAAAACCTGCAGAGGAACCAGGAAGGTGCTGCCAGGAGAGTTTGCCAGCTCTGAATCTGCCCCTGGAACCACCATGTCTCCTCAGCCCTCTTCCCTTCCCTCTGGGGGTGAACCTGAGAAGAAGCTGAATGGGGGATCCATAGAAAGGGGCAGAAATTAGAGATTCCCTCATTTCTTTGTTTCCCACCTTAAAAAGATTCCACACTTAAACAGCAGCTCAGGAAGGAACTTCGGGGCACAGCAGAAAGAGAGAATCAGACAGAACCTCCTGGCTGTCTCACCTCAGGCAAGCCACCGCCCCTCTCTTCCCCGTCATCTCTGTCTGTAAAATGGAGATAAAGATAGTTCTCCCAGGAGCGGGAAGGGGGGTTCCCCTCCCAAACACGAGAAACTGTCAGGATCACTGATTTCACCCAGCCCTACTCAGCATTTGACAGAATGTGACCCACTAAGCCAAAAATAAAGTTTGAGCTTCATGACCCTCAGCTTCTGCCCAGTCCTGCAGGACTCCCACTCCCTAGCCCTGACATTCAGGACACACCAGAAATCTGCTTTCAAGAACCAGAAGTTACTGTGCAAAAGGAAACAACAGTGATTTGTCTCATAAAACCCCAGCTGCCGGCCTGTGCGACTCCCCACCCTCACCCTCAGACCCCTCCCCTACCTCAAATCTGGGCAAGGTGGGCCCAGGGAAGACAGGGGCCCCTCTCTAGCTCTAGATGACAAGAAAGAGCAAAGTCATGGCCCAGCCCAGGCGCTCTCACATCACAATCAGACCTGTAGAGGCAAAGGGACAGAGGGTAGGAGGGCTCATTGGCTCACTCACTGATTCACTTCTAGGCGGCCTCGCACCACTGTGCAGGTTACGCATCTCCAGGGTGTCCCAGCACTCACCCTGCCGTTTACATGAGGGACACCACCTGGCGGGGACAGTGTGCAATCTCACCTGGCTTCCACATCCCTCTCTCGCTCATTCACTGCCACTTACCCAGCTAGTCAATATGTCACTAGCTGCTCTGTGCCTGGCCCTGTGCTGGGCGATGCTGGGACAAAGAGATGAGTTAGACCTAGTCCCTGAACCCCCCAAAAGCTCCCATTGTGGGGGGAGGGAAGAGGGTGCAAAAGTACTTGGATTCCAGCAGCATGGGCGGGTCTAGTAGAGGTTTGGGCCTTGTGGGTGGGAGCATGAGGAAGGCTCTAGCCCAGTGGCAGTTCCACCTCAGGGCAGCCCCAGCACGATGAACCCAATGCACCAGAACCGTTGGAAGCCTTTGATACTTAGGCTTTCAGGGAGAGCCCCTGAGGCTGGTCTGTTCCTTCCCTCACCGCCATTTCCAAGGCCCTCCTTGCGTTCCGCTAACCCCTTGTCCAGTCAGTCCCTGCATCTGTCTTCTTGCCACCAGGGAATGCTGTGTTCTTAGGACACACAGCCTCTCCTGGGAGTGGCAGAGAAGCCTCCCGGAGCGCTGGTTGAGTAGGATGGATGGGGCACGTCACTCTGCTTCTATCCGCAGGATTATTTGCTGCTGACCACTCCAGAGGACGAGGTGCTCGCCGAGGGCCCCCCCTCAGCCACAACTGCCCCAGAACCTTGAGAGTCCAAGAATGGCTACAGTCACCTGGAAAACCTCAACTGTAATAAAGCTGACTTGCTTGGGAAGGAGTCTGGTTCTGAGTTTGCTAAGAGATCCTAGGAGGTAGCAAGGCCATATTGATCTGTCCAAAAAAAGGGTTTTCTCCCAGATAGTTGCTGTTTCCCAGGCCCCTCAGAGAATATTCTGAATTCCGTGTTCAGTGTCTCAGAGAAGGGAGGTTACTCAGAAAATGAACCAAGAGCATGAGTTTCACAAGTCCAGGCCCTGACAGCACGGGTGTAGAAAGACACACGGAAAATCTACACACACAGGAAAGGTTCCCTGGACAAGGGAGAAGGAAGAAGGGAAGAGGAGTTTTGGGGTCCCTAAGAAAGGGGGACCACAGAGCCCAGAGATATTTCGGAGACCTTGAGTCCAGAGGAAAGGGGCCAAGGAAAGCAGCCAGAACAACCAAGAGAAAACCTGGGTCCAGGTGGGTGATTGTGAGACAGCCACACCTCACAGCCACACCTCTGAGCTTCTGGGCCCCGAAAGGTGTGGCTGGAAGCAAAGGAATTTTCACGTGCCCAAGACCAGTGCCATCGAGGGAAGGAGCCTGAAGTCATCCCTCCCACCAATGGCCCAGTCCCATGTAGCCTGGGCAGGCAAGACGGTGAGCAGAGAAAGGCAAGGAACCAGAGGGCTTTACAGTCGGAGGAAAACAGCTCCATGGTCGCCAAGCGTGGAGAGATGGCAAAGCACACAAATGACCCTCTACCTCGAGGGCACTGGCCAAAGCCGACAGCAACTTAGGCCTCGACCCAGAAAAAGACCAATGAAGAGAAACTTTGGATTGTGATAAAATCCCCACCACAGGCAGGATCGAGGCTCATGAAAGTCTCTGTCTTGGGTGTCAGCTCCCTCAGTAACCGCAGCTGGCCTCTGGAAACAGAAGGAGTTGTGAGGGAGGCCCTGCTGGAGGCCAGTACTCTACCGTGTATCATAAATCATGGAGGGACGCTCAGGGTCTGATACAGAGACCCTGTCCTGTAGTAGGAGGTTGAGGCCCACAGTAAACCATGCTGCAGGTTTGCTACTTGACTCTGGACTTTTTTTCAAATATGAACCACAAGCCCAGAATTGAAGGAAAAAAATCCCCAACCGGCAGACCCCAAGAGGTGTCTGGGCTACAGGGTACAACCGCCCTGCACTCTGGCCTTGCAAAGTCTCCCAGCCCTTGGTGAGTATAACACACACCTGAGATAAACTAAAGACTGGGAGGCACTTTCCCAGGGGAGAGCAGAATCCTATCCCACACCCAGAATTTTCCCACCTGCAAGTGAGTACAGTGCCCTGGCACATGGTAGATACTGAGCACAAAATGAGCGAGTGCAGTCTTCCTCAGGACCTTGAGGAAAGCTGGGCAGGTCTCAGCTTACTCCTATCCAGGCAGGAGAGAGCCTCTCCTCCAGCCATGGGAGCCCCTCACTCCCTGCCCATGACTTTAACAGGTACATCTCTCTACAGTCTGCAGGCACTCACATCCGTTATCCCATTAGAGACTCTGGGTAACCTTGGCTGGTACCTTGGGTGGTAACAGGGAGAGCAATGGCCCCATTGCAAGGCTAGGTAGCCCCACCACTTCTGATGCTGAAAGTCAGGACTCTGGTCCCAAAAACCACCCTCCCCCTCGTCTACCCCTTATGGCCTCTCTGGGCCCCACCCCCACCCCCAGGTTTCTAAGCTCAGCCAGGGAGCAAACAGCCCAAAACACCTTTCCCACTCAGCTGCTCTAGTGGCTTAAAGTCTTCCACACTGGCATCATCCTGAAGGTCTTCCTAAGAAAATACACCTTCTAAGAAGGGGTTTTCAAATTTTTCAAACTAATGATCTACTTCTTCAAATGAAAGCTTACAAACCTGATACATGAAACACATGACAAGACAGATGCTCTGGTTAGAAAGAGGGTGGGGACTGCACGTCTCTCCCATCTAGAATCACCTTCTAACCCCCGAAGCGAGAGCCTCTAAGGAACCTCTGTGCTCCGTAGAATTCAGGCACTGAGTTACCAGGAGGGAGGCCCCAGTGTGTGAACCTCCAGGAACCAGGGGCCAGAGTGCTGAGGGAAGTGAACATAGGACAGGGACCTTTGAGAGCAGCGTTAATAAACCAAAGAATGGAGGAAATTCACTGGAAGAAAGAGAGGGGCCTAGAAGGGAGAGCATGGAAGGCTCTCCCTCTTCCACACCCACAACAAAGTACCAGCATCCCCCAGCTGGTGGGCCAGGCCCAAAACACAGAAAGTCTCTCATTCCTCCACCCCTAGTCCTATGCCGAGACCAATGCTGTTGTCCTACTGGCTAAATCCCTATCAAATCCACCACCAAGACTCTGCTTCCACGCTGTCCCTCCCTATACATTCCACATAGCAGCCAGAATGGGCTTTTCAAAACATCAACCGAATCATCACTTACTGCTTAAAACTCTCCAACAGCTCCCCATCCCACTCAAGAAAATCCACAATCTTCACCCCAGCCCCCAAGGCTCTACCTGAGCTGACCCTGGGACTGGGCCTGGGCCTACAGTCTCCTCTCCTCCCCTCCCTGCTCAGCCACACGGGCAGGCTGAGCTGCTCAAGCCCCCACACTTCTTGCCTCCCGCAGGCAGTGGGCATGCAGAAGCCCTTCCCTCTCCCTCTCCCCTGGCTCTGCAGGAGTAGCTTCCTCCTATTCTTTAAGTAAACCTTGAAATCACCTCTGCTAAGAAGCCCTCCACTGCTCCCATCCCAGCTCCTCTTTTCTTTCAAACACTTATTTTATTAAAGAGACACTTTACTCATCTGTGTCTGTCTCTCTCACTATAAATCATGAGGAGAGAAACCATGGCTCACTGACACATTCCTGATGCCTGGCATATGGTAGGTGCTTAATGAATATCAGAGGACTATGTGGATGGATGAATGGATAGATGGATGGAAGTTTGGATGGATGGATGGATGCATGGATGGATGGATAGATAGATACATAGATAGATGATACATGATAGACAGATGATAGA